GTCAGATTGCAGGTGGCGGAAGTGTCTATGGGACAATTTAGCATGGTCAATCCACCTAACCTTCACATCTTTGGACTGTGGAAGGAAACTGGAGGACCCGAAAGAAACCCATGTAGACAGGGAGACAACTGCAAACTCCATACAGATGGTTGCCCAAGGATGGAATTGAACCTGGGTCCCTGGCGCTGTGAGGCAGCAGTGCTAACCACTGAGCCACCATGCTGCCCTGAAATGTAGAATCCCTCTGGGTAGAAAAGCCAGATAAAAAAGCAAGGGTTCCAACACTGACCCTTGGGGAACTTCTCTGCAAAAATTCCCTCAGCCTGAAAAAAATCCATTAACAATTACTGCATGTTTTCCAAGACTCAGCCCATTTTGCATCTGTACTGGTACTCTCAGTCTGATTCCAATTTATTTACTTGATCATTTGATTTGCCCAAACGAGTATAAAGAGGGATGGCTGGGACATGGGGGTAGTAGGCAGACCTGTAATACAATATTCTGTAAATAAACTAATTATCAAGAAAAGGATTTATCTAGTTTCACGCATCACCATCTGGCCTGGGATCAAATTAACAAAACCATTGTATTTTCATTAGATCCTTTAGAAGCCGTTATACAGAGAATTTCTGATAACTGGGCTGGATTGAATCAGTTTTGTCGAGTAAATGAAGCTTTGTTTTTGTAAGTAGTTGCACATTGGTTATTCATGCTTTTGGCAAGTCCCTTTTGGAGGAAGCCTGACTGACCACAACATACTAACACTTTGAGGAAAGTTACTATATGGGAATTCAGAATTTGAAGTTTTGCAAGATTTGTTAAACTGATGTGACTAAGTTTTTTTTTAAATTTGCTTAATCTTTACTTATCATTCAATATTCCTTTTTTTAAAAAAAGATTAGCTGTCCTTCTGAACGGTCTATGAAGTGTTTATGACTATTCATTTCTGTGCTGAGTGACAGAATGCTGAGGATTTGGATTTGAATTGGTTAAATTTTCTACCTAGTCAGTGATTGGCCAATTTTCAACTTTGAGTTTCATTTGAGAGGTAATTTCTTATCTGCGCATTCTGTTTGCCTCCAAACTTTTCTTGGGTCAAAGCCCTATACAAGACATTGCCTGATCACCGAGTTCCTTTCATATTTCATCTCTTTCTGGTAAATTCAATTACATTATTTTGTTTGTTTGAGAATTAGAGAAAACCTATTCAGTGAAAATTACTTGTGTACCAAACAACATAAACAGCAAGTGATAAATGGAGCTAAGTACTTTCCTAACCAACATATCAGATTTAAGTTCTGCAATTTTGCCACATTTAGTTTTGAATAGCAGTGGACAATTAAGCAACTCACTGGAGCAGGCTTCACAAATATCTCCATCCTCCATGTTGGGGGAGCCCAGCACATTAGCGCAAAAGATAAGGCTGAAACATTTTACAGCAATCTTCAGCCCGAAGTGCTGAGTGGATAATATCCACCATAGCCTTCTCTGAAGCTCCCCAGCATCACAGATGCCATGCTTCAATTAATTTGATTCATTTCATGTGATATCGGGAAATGGTTGGAGACACTGGACACTAAGAAAGCTATAAGGGCTGATAACATTCTGGCAGTAGTACTGCTCCAGGACTTTCTGGATCCCTAGCCAAGCTGTCCCAGTACAGCTACAACACCTGCATCTACCCGACAATGTGGAAAATTGCTTGGTCCCTCAAATAACAATGTGTCCAGATAATTTGTAGTGGCTAATGGATTGTTGTTAGCCATGTTACCAGGAATGCTCTTTGTGGATAATGCCATAGATCTTCAACATCTCTCCTTCAGCGTATTGCCTCATCTATGAGATAGCACGCTTCAGTAATTTAATGTCTTTAGTATACTGAAGTGGGAGCTTGAACCTATGATATTCTGACTCTGAAGCACAAATACAACTATTGAGCCAAGCCTAATGAGTAAGGTTGTTGAATTATGAAGTATTTTAATTCCCACTTTCTGTTTACCCTAATTTTTTTCGGGTTAAAGGGAGGGAAGTTTTGAGATGCTTGATTCAAAGCAGCGTCTTATTTTTGCAACAGAAGATAAGGGTCTTGTAGGACATTACTTTGCCTCTCATCCTTTGTCATAGGGTTTTCTGGGTTTGGATAATTTTGTATTTCCAAACTCTCAAAGCATGATTGTGTCTGAGTTGTATACATCAAAGAGAGCAATGGGAGGGAGGGAAGCTGGCCTGAATGATCATCTGATGAGTAAGAAAGTGAATGAAAAAAGTCGTTTTGAAGCTCCGAAGATTTTGATAACACTATTCTTTTTCTCCTGATGGAGAGTGGTGCTGTCAGATGCATGCAATGTACCCTGTCTGTCCCCTCAGAGTTGTGTCAAAGATATCATGGTACTCTTTAAAGAAGAGCAGAGGAGCTTTACCAGTGATGTAGTCACCATTTAATCCTCAAAGCTAGCATTGTTGTCTGAACATTCATCTCCTTGCTGTTTTAAAGCAGTTCTCTATGTATGGATGTGCGACTATATTTGTCCAGCTTACACCTCTATTTTCACACACATTATCCACTTCTCCTTTCTACGTTCTTTCTCAGCAGTTTTCCTTCTCCTGCACCACCCTCCATGCAATCCATTTTTCTCTTTCCATTTGAGGTAATTTATTATTTAAAATTAATTTCAGAGAAGTGGCTGGGCCAGTGTGCCAACTTACATTGCCTGTTCCTAGTTGCAATTGAGAAAATGGTGGTGAGTTTGAACTGCTGCAGACCATTTGTCATACATCCACAATGCTATTAGGGAGGAAATTCCAGGATTTTAACCCAGTGACACTGAAGAAATGGTGATATATTTCCAGGTCAGATGGTGACTGTCTTGGAGGGGAACTAGGAGGTGATGTTTTCATGTATCTACTGTCCTTGTCCTTCCAGATAGTGGTGGTCATAGGTTTGGAAGCTACTGTCTAAGGAACCTTCGTGAATTTCTGCAATGCATCTTGTTGATGGCACACACCACTTTGACTGAATGTTGGTGGTGGTGGGAGTGAACGTTTGTGGATGTGTTGCTTTGTCCTGGATGGTATCAAGTTTCATGAACGTTATTGGAGCTGCACCCATCCAGGCAAGTGGGAAGTATTCCATCACACTTGTGCTTTGTAGATGGTGGACAGGTTTTGGGGAGTTGGGAGGTGAGCTATTCCCTGCAGGATTCCCAGCCTCCGACCTGCTGTTGTAACCACAGTATTTATATGGCTAATTCAGTTCAGTTTCTGCTCAACAGTAATCCCCAGGATATTGATTAGGGGGTTATCATTGACTAGAAACAGAAAATGGAAGATGTGCTGAGTTCTATGTTGGGATTTCCAGATTCGGACTTCCAATATCATGTTGGCTAAGCCACAGACCTCTTTGTCGTGGTGAGCATTCAGTCCACAGTGTCTTGGATGCCACCTATGGCTAGGGCTGACATCATCAACAGAAACATACCACTGTGTCCACTAATGCTGTTCTCTAAATTGCTTCTGGAAAGAACAGACTGGAGCAACTGGATGTCCAATTTATATTTTGTTTCTTCTGGTAAGCTTTCCATCTGTGCTTTATCTCACGCTCCAAGTAGCTGGTTTAAATGTGAACCCAAGTTTGAGAAGTTTGTCAGTAAAGAGTAACACCATTAGTGAAAGAAATCTGGTGAGTTTCCATCCCAATAGATCAGGCCTTTATTGTATATTTGAATCACCAGAGTAATGGGGTCACAAGTTACTTTCTTGATGAGGACTAATCAGATGACCAACAGAAAAACCAAACAAATCCTTCTACATTTCAAAAGAAGTTTGCCGTGTTGTTGGTTGTGAATGTCGCACTAGATTTTCATTCTTATGAATATTCCTATTTTGATGTAATCTACCAAAACATAACACCAGTTTCTCTGCCTAAAATTACAAATGACATACACACAGTGTAATAGAGAAGTGAATGTATAACTGATATAAGCACAGCATGATCGTTGTACACGTTAGTAAGTGAACTTTACTTTGGCATGTTATGTGATCGTGATTTTTAACAACTGGCATTTAGAAAATTGCTTCGCTATTACAGTAAAGGACCAAACCAGGAGAATGCAACATTTTTAAGCCTAACTGTCTGTCTGATTGTAAAGATGCTTGCATTTGTAGATTATCCTGTTTGTATCTCTCTGTAAGGTTTTGCTGTGGTTTGGTGATTTTGCAATCAGTGTTTCCTGCATCATGTCGTCATTTCTCTGTGGGGCCTCCATCTGGGAGCAGATTTTCTTTTTGGACAAATAGAGCTGTTGTTGAAATGGAAACCACTTATGGAAATACTCTTTTCATGTTGAGGTTTAATAGCTGAGTAAACTTGAATCATTTAAAGCTTTATATGAATTAGATATCCAGAGGGTTTTAGTTGCAATGTTTGATAGATGCCCAGTAGACTACACAACTGTGTGAGCAATATTCAGCTGAATAAACCCATTATCTTTTATGTTTTTATGATAGTGATCTGAATTTGATGAATAGCATTTGGGTTTCTTGTGCCAATTTAAAAAAAAAGCTGTTGTGTTATTTTTAAATCAAATCATTTGTGTTTGCATAAAAATCTGTCCATATAATTGTTATTCTCAGCAGCTCAGTGCATTGGTTGGTTCTTCCGTGAATATATTTCACAGTTAATGTCCCCGTGGGTCTATAGAGTCCAAAGAGACTGATCTTCTTGAGAACAAAACTACATTCTGATAACAACTGGTTCTTTTTATGTTCAGTAAATTGAAGATTCTAGAATATCTTTTTTTTCCATTTTTGTACCTGATAAGTTTTTTTTTCTATTTTGAGGTTTTAAAAGAAACAAAAATGAAATATATAGTACTAGGCTGACTTCCATAATGTATTGATGGATGTTTTGTTCAGGATTTTTGGAGTTTTCAGCATCTCATTTGTAAAGTCTGTCCTTTGTACTTGTCCAGGTGACTGACTGTGGTTCGTGTTTATAACAGGTGCTCTAACCAAAGTAAAGGAGAGTAAACGGCATGTGGAAGAAGGGAAGATGGAATTGCAGCAGGCAGATGGAGTCCGCGAACGCTGTGACACTATTTCTTTTGCTACACTGGCTGAGATTCACCATTTTCACACTATTCGTGTGTCGGACTTCAAGACACAAATGCAGCATTTTCTTCAGCAGCAGATCCATTTTTACCAGAAGGTGACTCAGAAGTTAGAGGAAGCATTGCAGAAATATGATGCTGTTTAACTTCTATCAGTTTGACAATTTTTTATTGTGGCCTTTTCACATCTGAATAATGCAGGTGATCGGCAGACTGTCAAAACGCTCTGGAATCACCCATGGCGCTTAGAGATCATGTTGGGGTCCAAACTTGGTGATCTGGTTTCAAAATCAAAATCTGTTGAACAGTCTCCAAAATTGAGTCAGTTACCTGGCAAATTACTCCAAATTATGTGGGTGAGGGATTGGGAGGAAGGTCATTTAAGTATGTTATGTACTATATGCTTACACTACCATACTAATTTGTTCTGCATAGTGCAGTATGTGTGTACTATCTAACTTTGCTTTATTTAACAAAGTTATGTAGGGTATACTGTTGGGCCCCAAGTCCTAAAGCAGGATGGATGGGTTGACTGTGTTCTCTATACAGCCTATTCTAACTGATGAGGAAACTATTAGACTTTAATCTCTTCTGTAATAAATGAAATGCAAAGACTAAACCTTGTTTACAAATTCCAGCTGGAGCAGCTATGTTACTCGTGCCTTTTGAGTCACTGTTTGTCTTCTGTAGTTTATAACAAAATCTTACTAAAGGAGGAGGGAATCCCATGTGTTTCTCAAGTTGAAATTGCACCAGGAAGTGAAGAAAAATGATTTGGACCTCTAGTTTATTTAAAAAAAAAGGAAGTTCACTGTGCCCCTGTGCTAGTAGCAATCACAGAAAATTCTAATGAAATTACAATCTTCTCAGGAAGGTGGAAGATGCTATTTATTTCTGAAAACAACTGTTATGCAGGCAGGAACCGTGTATAAGTTTGAGAGCAACTTATCTATATTAGGTGGGAATCTCTGGCTGACTTCCCAATGTAATGAGGGGGGAGTTTTATTTTTTAAAAATTCTGAAAACTTAATGAAGGAGTAAGGTAACTTTTTTGTTCCCAGCAACTTGATTTTGGGCAGATTTTAGGTTACTAGAATACTTGACATCTGACCTAGAAATGCTATTTGAGGAAAGTTTTAGCATGAATTAGAATCAGTAACTGGTAAATGTGATGATCACTTGACTGAATTGTTTCGCATCTTTCGTAATGGAAATAAATTTCTATGAAAATAGACAAAATTGGAAAACAAAATTTAAATCTGGTCTTAAATGTTACCTGCTGAAATTTGAGTGCATTTGACAAATCATTGGGGTCACCCAGTCTTGCCTGCTGCTCTCCAGAACCTTACGGTGTGTGCTGCAAGGCCTTGTCTTTCGAGAGTACTAAGCTACTTTATTCTGATGTTAACTGAAATGTGCTAGAGAGCTAAGTATTGCTTGGTGGGAGTTGTACAGTCCATTGTGTGAGAACCCTTTGAATGCAGCAGCTGGTAAAAGGAGCTATTGTGAGCAGTTGTGAGCAAACCAACCAAAGAAGTAGTGGCTTTTTTGAGAATTTCTTTCATCTGGAAGTGGAAGTATTTCATTTTAACATAGCACATTTTAAGTTGTACAATCCACAAAGACATTTTGATTATGGGACTAAAATTATGTAAATTTAATTTGGCATTTGGCTGCATTGAAATTGGTCTGGCATTACTGATCAATGTACCGTTATGAAAGTGCCATTGACAAAAGGCAAAGCAATTGAAGATTATTTTTGACAGTGGTTTAAAATGTCAACCAGTGTGATAATCTTGTCAGCAAGAGTAGCCTAACTAGCCATTACAAGTGTCTTTATGGGAGATATTGTGGGAGACCACAAAGATATGAAGATGTTTACAGCTTTTCTATTACCTAAAATTGTTATGGTTTCTCACTGCAGCAGTTTGATAGCTATATAAAATAACATAAATGAATGCACATCTACAAGACTTGCACCAAAATGTCAGACTTTCTGTGAAAGTGCTCCTTTATTTAAAACATCAGCTCAGAATAAATAGTTATTTCATTTGAATGTTATTGTACGCAACATTTAGATTAAAAAGAAATGACCATAACACTCAGTTGTCTCGTCATTTTTAATTCTTTTGTAATTGTGTGGCTGTGACTTAAAGTTTGTGTCACCGTATTTTTTGTTTAAAAAAGTGTCAAATGCCATTTGTGTTCTATGCCTTAAGTTTTAAATTTTAAGTGGAACTTCGATGTACTATACTTCGCTTTTCAGAAAACATTTTGATAAGATGCCACGTTATGGAAAATAAAATCTCATGGTGTAGCATACTGGCATGGATAGACTGGCTGGCCAACAGGAAGCAGAGAGTAGGTGTGAATGGGTCTTTTCCAGTTTGGCAACATTTTAACGAATGGTATGCCACAGGAATCAATGCTGGGAACTCAATTGTGTACAATTTATGTAAATGACTCTGACAAAGGGAGGAAAGGTATGGCTGCAGTTCCATCCCACCTCAACATAGTACTTTGATTATGAGAATGTTTGCTGACACCGCAAACCCCTCTCAGTACACATGCAAATTGCACGTGCAGTACCCCCGAAGAGTCCTGCCAGCAATTTTGCTCATTTATTGTGCTTATTTGGACACTGGCATGTTTCTTACTAACAGAGCATTTCACAGTGTGCATGTGCAGAATCTTTCACACGTGCAATGTGACCTTTTTCAGGGGTGTCAGAAGACACAGCCTTTAATCATACCACCTGCTTTGTGTTCCCCACACCAAACCACATTAAACTGTATCTGTCATTAATCTATACTGGGGTTATCCAACAATTTTGCATGGAGATGCCACATTTAAATGTTTCTCCTCTTCAGAGGTTGGTGAGCAGGCTGCTTTTCCTCCCTCTTTTTCCCCTTTCCCTCTCCCACATGCTTATCCCAAAAATAATTCATGGGAGTTTGCACTTGAAAAATTTCCACGAGCACGTTTCAGCTCCACCAGCAAGCATTTGCATTGAAATTAAAGTGGCCAAGTTTTCTTCATCTGCATGCAAGTCTGTCCAGAAATTCTCCCAGCACTATCATGGCCTGACTGTCACTTCCCCTCTGCCATCTGACTCATTGCTGCAGTGATTATAACAAGATCAGACAGGTGGACATTATAGAATGAGTTCCCTGATTAGGGCTGTTAATCTGGTCCAATTAGGGAGCCCTGACTAATGGATACAAATAGGAGTGTCAGAGATTCTGTTCAGTCTGAGCGCTGGATCAGTGTCAAGGATTCTCCACATGTAAATGAAGAGTGGGTAGGTGGGGTGGGGGGTGCTTGTTAACAGGATACTAGCCTCTGTGGACTTCTTTCAATTGCTTTATCCCACATTGCGACTCTCATCTCCTACCCTCCGAACCATGCTATTTTCTCAGAATGCCTTCTATTTCCAGACCCAACCCGCAGACTCTCTCTAATCGCAAACTGATTCTCTCCCATGTTTGCTGCTCACGGGCTCATCAGTAAGCCCAGAGCAGCATACAGGAGAGAAAGGGCCTCTGATTAGAGAAACAGCTCTCTTTCCCTCACCCTCGGGTTATGATTCTTCTCATGTAAGGTGAAATAATTATTAATTCTGGAACCACTGAGCTTTATATTTGTTGACAAGTAAAACAGCCTTTGTTACTAAAACCAAAATATTCTGGCAGGGGCTGCACATGGCCCACAGGCCTAGATTGGGTACCCCAGTCTGTACTCTTCTGCAACTCTACTGATCACTAATTATGATGGGTGTTTTGTGTTGCCTGTAAAATTGGAAATTGTACATCTTATGCCCAGGTCCAGGTCATTTACATAGGTAAGAAAAGCACTGACTTTAATATCAATCCCTCGAAGTTGGAATTGTGTAAATGTTTCCTTATGTAAAAAATATAGTGTGTTAATACATTCTGCCTCCTATTCCTAAGCCAGTTAAATACTCCTATTACCATTATCCTTTTAATACCATGTCATACAGTCATAGAGTCATACAGCACAGAAATAGACCTTTCGGTCCAACCAGTCCATGCCAACCATAATCTCAAACCGAACTAGTCTCACCAACCTGCACCTGGCCTACATCCCTCCAAACCTTTCCTATTCATGTACTTATCCAAATGACTTTTAAACTTTGTACTTGTACCCGCATCCACCACTTCCTCTGGAAGTTCATTCCACAAACTATCTTTTATGTTTAAAAAAAATTTAGAAAAAATTGCCCCTCATGTCTTTTTTTAAATCTCTCTCTTCTCGCCCTGCTTTCCTAAAAGGTCTGTTATGTTGTCTTTTGGAAATCCAAACGTGCTAAATCTATCTTCATTGACCTTTGTCTTGCCTTAAAGAACACAGACTGATTTAATTGAACATGATTTACCTTGAACAAATCCAACTATGCTGTCAGAGATCGTAAGAACTGCCGATGCTGGAGTCTGAGGTAACACATTGTGGAGCTGGAGGAACAC